GCGGTGCCGCCACAGCCACGTCCCCACGCACGAGGACCCCAACCCCGACCCCAACCCCGACCCCAACCCCGACCCCGGCCCAGCGAGGCCCCACGCGCTCCCCGCCCCACCGGGAGCCCAGCGGCCGCCCCAGGCCCGACCCAAGCGGGCCTCACGCCCCCGGCCCGGCCCGGCCCCGCGCCCCCCCGCCCGCAGGCCCCGTCCCGTCCCCCCGTCGCTCACCAGGCTGCCGTAGGCCATCACCAGCACCACGTTGACCCCGGACAGCCAGTTGCTGCCGGCCCCCGCCATCCCCGGCCCGCCGCGGGGCCGCACAACATGGCGCCCTCCGAAGCCGCCCCGCGCCCCCGCCACGTGACGCGGAAGCGCGACGCCGGCCCGAGAAGGAAACCGAGCCGCTCGCCCTCCCCCACGTGACTCCGCGCCGCGTCACCCTCGCGTGCCGCGTCACGTGGGAGCGAAGCCGGGCCGGCCCCGCCCCCTCCCGCGTCACGTGATGGGGGCGGGCGGCGCTGGGCAGTGTCAGTGTGGTGGAGACTCAGGTAAAGTTGGTGCGCGGCGGCGGCGGCTCCGCTCCTTCCGCGCGGCCCCGCCGACCCCGCCCCGCCGCCGTTCTTCCTCCCTCTCCCTCCGCGCTCCGCTCGGCCCCGCTCTTCCCGGCCACGGCCTCGCCGTTCCGCGGCGGCCCCTCGCCGCCCGCCGGGCCCCGCTCCCCGCCGGGCGCCGTGCGGCCTAGTGGGCCGGGCCCGGCCTCGGGCTGGCGTAGCGCGCGGCCGCCGCAGGTGAGGGAGGGCGGGCGGGCGGGCGGACGGGCGGGGGCGGCCGCCGCGTCGGGCGGGGAATGGCGGCCGCGGCCATGAGGGCGGAAGCGGCCCGGCCTGGCGCCGCGCTGCCGGGGGGAGGCGGAGGGGCCCGGGCCCGGCCCTCCCCGCGGGGCCGCCCCCATTGTGCGCCGCGGGTCCCTCCGAGGCCGGGACCGGGCGGATCCCCGGGGCCGGGGAGCACAAAGGGCTGGGAGGCGCCGCCCCGCCGTGCGAGCGCGGGCCGAGCCCGGGGGGCTGAGCGCTGCGGGTTTCCCCGGCCGGGGCCGCGGGGCTCCGCACGCACGCGGGGTTCGCCCCGCGGATCGGAGCTGCGTGCCGCGCTGCGGTGCTCGCCGCCGTAGGGAGATTTCCTCGTGCGTTCACCCCTTTTTTTTTATTTTTTTTCTTTTTCCCTTTGGAGCCTTTTTGCCGTGCTAGCAGAGCTTTGCAGGAGGGGTGTGGAAGTGGCGCTTTTCTGCCCTAACAGATAAGGGAAACTGAGGCTGGGGCGTGCTGCGGCTCGCCTGGCATCACCCGGGAGCAGCGGCCGTGAGCACAGAGCCCCGTCCTGCGTTGTAACCCCCCTGAATTCCCAATAAAGTGAACCGTTGCGCTCTGTCTCTGTATCACCTCTCTTTTTAGAGGCTCCGTGCAGCCCGGGGCTCGGCTCTGCGGGACGCGGTTTGATGGGGAAGGCGATGCATTGCAGCCCCTTTAATGCAGGATCCCGTAACCCGGAGCTGCAGCCCTTCGATCCCATCCCCTTGTCTTGAAGGTTTCCCGTTTGAGCGCCGTTTCTCTGGGCTTTGCTGGGGAGTTTGCTTTGTTTGGCCGCCGTCGCCCGTTTTTATTGCAGCTGCACATGTGTGGTTTTGTTTTCCTTCTTAAAGCAAAACAAAAGGAGATGGAAGGTTTGATAAATCCGCCCTGAACCCGTTGCGAAGCGCATCGTTACACGCGTGGGGATGGTTTGGGTGCTGGGATAGGGAATGTTTGCATTGAAATGTTGCCCCTGAGCTGTGCTGAAGTTACAGGTGGAGGAGTGGAGTTGGAGCAGAGCTCACCTGACGGTTTCTGCGGGATGGTGCTTCTGTTAGAATGACTTCTTTGATGGTTTTTTTTGCACGTAAAGAATGATTGAACGGTCCCTGAAACGCAGCAGGGCTGAGCAGGGAGTGGCAGCTGCCAAACTCTGCCCAACTCCTGCCCAAAGCTTGGGGGCAGAGCGCTGCCAGAGCCCGTTGGAACTGCAGGTTGAGTTACTGCAGACACACAACATCGCTTCCTGGGGCTGCAGTGCTGCTGGATCGGTCTGATCCGACGACTTGGTTGTGTGTGAGGTCTTAGGATGGGAAGAGATGAAGTGCTGGGGAGTGGAAATGAGCCCAGCGGGGAGGGAGTGCAGCGTGGCTGCCGTGCGGTGCCCCCGAATTGTGGCTCTGCACAGCTCAGAGGTTGCACAGTGTGGTGAACCAGGAGCTCTGTAAGCACAGAACTCTCCTTAAGTTGCCGTGAGGTGTCAGTAGCCCCAGAAGGTGAACTTTACAGCTGCTGAGGGTCTCTTTTTGTGGGCAGCCCCCCAGCAGGGCGCTGCCATCCCCTGCTCTGGCTGTTGGTGTTGGAATCTTCCCCACGTCAGGCTGCTGATCCTCGCTGAGGTTCTTCCATGGCCTGAGCTCCAGCACTTCCACAACCGCCTTCCTCGCTGTTGTCCCACGTTGGCATCGAGTTCTTTCCATTTGTTGGTAGCTTTTAAACCTAGAATACTTGAGAGGAGAAAACCTAACCAAGATCTGCAGGGTAGTTGGAATAAGGAAAAAGAAGCAGTTGTTTCTACGTGGGTGATGTATTAAAGAGAGAATATCCCACAGCACACCTGTAACTGAAGGGCGCTGCTCCCCTGTGCTCTGAAGGCACACAAGAAGAGCAGTTGGGAGCTTTTGGAGGCTCTGGGATGTCCCAGTCTGCTGCTGTAGGGCTTTGTGAAGCATCGTGTGCTCTGTGGGGTGGTTCTGTGCCAGGTCAGCCCTTCCTGGGGGGGTATTTCCCTCCGGGATGCAGTGTGGGGTGGTGGACGTGGGTCTGTGCTGGTGTTTCTCACTCCGTGTCGGTGCCGCAGTGCGTTTCCAGTTTCTAACAGCCTGTTCTCTCTTCTCCCCCCTGCCCCACCGCAGACTTCTACCTTGTAAATACTGTTATTTGTATATACTGTAAATGATGACATCGGTGGGCACTAACCGAGCCCGGGGGAGCTGGGAGCAGACACAGACACAGAGCCAGACACAGCACAAGCAGCGGCCGCAGGTAAGGGCAGCGTCCTTGGCAACCAGCTGGGTGCAGGTGGAGCCCTGGCACAGGAGCTGGGCTGTCCCGTGGTGCTGCTGCACCCTGTGTGCTTCCAGCCCATCGGCTCCTGTTGGCTTTTTCACAACCAGCCCAGAGCTGCCTGCAGTTTGTCTCCGTGTTCTGGTGGTGGTGAGGCTGCCATAGGTGACGTGGGACACCTGGTGGTGCTCCTTCTCGCTTTCCCTCCCCCCTCCCCTTTGCCTGCTTTGCTTTCTGGAGCCTTCCTCCTCCCAAAGCCCCATTTCGTATCTTTTTTCTTAGCATCTACTCCTTCTGGAAGCAGCGTGGCCTCTGGGAGCCGAGCTGATGTGCTCCATGCTAACCATGCTCTCTTTTGATGCCCCATCTCTTTAGGCCACTGCGGAACAGATTCGACTTGCACAGATGATTTCGGACCACAACGACGCTGACTTTGAGGAGAAGGTGAAACAAGTGAGTGTGGGAGGGGAGGATGATGGCAGAGGGGATGTGCTGCTCTCCTTGTGCCCTGTGCTGCTGCGGCTCTCCTGGGCCCACTGACTGCAGCCCCAGAGCAGGAGGAGCAGCAGCATCCCAAGCTGAGGAGCTCATAGGCTACGCTGTGATGGGACTCTGACTCAGAAACTCCCACCTTCATTGCTGGGGATTTGCTGCTTGTTTGGGGGCACCACTAAGCTGGGAAGCTGGCAGCGCTGCCAAACCCTGGCATTTCTACATGTTTTGGGATTCGACATGCTTGCCTCTGAGATCCACGTGGATGTTGGTGCTTTGTGGGCATGGAACACGCTGACTTTGGTGTTCTCTTCTCTACAGCTGATTGACATCACAGGGAAGAACCAGGATGAGTGTGTGATTGCTCTGCACGACTGCAATGGGGATGTTAACAGAGCCATCAATGTGCTGCTGGAGGGCAATCCGGACACGGTAGGGTTGGGTGCTGTGAATCTGGTGAGGCCAAACTCAGTGTCACCACACGTTTGGAGATGAAACGTACTGTAAAGTCTTGATAACAAGAGCCAGAACGAGTCACGAGTTGCACGAGTGGTTTGAGAAGTCTGGTTACCTCCTGGCTTCTTAATGCTGCTCTGTAGAGCTGCAGGAGGTGTGAGCATGGCCAACAGGAGGGAGGGCAACAAACAACGGGTGCTTCACTCCCTGCTCCTTCTCAATGGGGAGTTCTGTGTCTCTGGCCTAGCAGTCACCATTTTGAGGGTCTTCTCCCATTTGTGTGCTGGTGTTGTTTTCTGTTGGCTGCTGCCCCTCATACAGGTGCTGTTGCTTCATGATGTCACACATTACCCCCTTTTTCCCTCCCTCTTTCTGAGCCATGAGCACAGGTGGATGCATTGGGCAGTGCTGCCTTCTGTCTTAGCACAGCTGCCTCTCGTTGCTGGGTGCTTTGCTCCTGCTGGCCCCAGCTGGGTTTGCTGTAGCTCACAGGAAGGTTCTTGCTTTGCCTTCAGAGAGCCCTTCCCATTGAACACTGAACAAAACTGCTGTTGGAAAATCCTTTTAGAAGGAGGGATGAGGTGAATGTGCTGCTTCTGGTCTGGGTTCAGCTGGAGTGGTGCTGATAAGGGATTTCCTGATAAGGGACAAACTTGTTAAAGACTCAAATGCTCTCACGTTGATGGAGGCAGCTCACCTCCTGAGCTCGTAACTCACTGTCCCCTGTTCCAAACAATGCAGGAGCTGTTGTGTTCTTCCAATGGTGTCATTTTCAGCCCAGTCTAACTCAGGGGAAGAACACGTTTCCGAGTTGTCTGAGCCACAGATAACAGTGCTATCTGTGTTCTAACAGTGTTATTCTGTAATCAGAAGCCCTTTGGTTTGGAGGCACTTCGTGCTTCCAAGGATTTTTATCCCTGTCTCTGCATGCTGCCATCCTAAAGCAGCTCTGCTTCTCCACCAGTTACGTTTTCAGGTGTTTGTCAATGACCTGTGACTATTTTTAATTAATCTAACAGCGTGCAGCATCAATTTAAGAACATGAGCCCATTGCAGGCTGTTGTGAAGTAAGTTCACGTGGGCAGTGGGGTGGAGGTGTGCTTTGTACAGCAGAGCTTGGGGTGAGTTTTTTCACTCAGAAGGTGGTGAGGCACTGGAACAGGTTGCCCAAGGAGGCTGTGGATGCCCCATCCCTGCAGGCATCCAAGGCCAGGCTGGATGTGGCTCTGGGCAGCCTGGGCTGCTGGTTGGTGACCTGCACACAGCAGGGGGTTGGAACTGATGGGCATTGTGGTCCTTTGCAACCCAGGCCATTCTATGAGTTGAACTCACCTATGGATAAATTGTGATCTTCTCCTTCTCATCCCATGGTCAGGGAGAGGTTTTGGGTTTTGAGAGAGCAATCCACCCTGAAACATTGACTGCAGAGCGCTCTGGAACGTTAACTTGGTTGTTCTGAGACTCGGGTTAACTGCTTTCTGTTTTTGCAAACCTTCAGCATTCCTGGGAGATGGTCGGGAAGAAGAAAGGCGTCTCGGGACAGAAGGACAGCGGACAGACAGAACCCAGTGAGGAGAGCAAAGAGAACCGGGAGAGAGATCGGGATTTCAGCAGGCGACGTGGAGGGCCGCCGCGGCGGGGCCGGGGTGCCAGCCGTGGCAGAGAGTGTATGCACCCACCTTTCCTTCCCCCATCACACCTCCTTGTGCTGAGCACTCTGTGCTCCCCTCTGTGCTGGGGGAACGCAGCTGTGGGGGAAATCACCCTCGTGTGGCAGCCTGCGTGCTGCTGCCCTGTGTGAGACGCATCCTCGGGTGATGCTCTCGCTTATGAGGTCACATAGTGCTTGGTCCCCTGCACAGCCACCACATTCAGCTCTTGAGGTCTGGTCTGGTGGTCTTAATGTGGTTTCTGCGTTGTTCTGTCTTGCAGTTCGGGGCCAGGAGAACGGGCTGGATGGTGGGAAGAGTGGAGGCTCTTCTGGAAGAGGCACAGAGAGAGGGAGACGGGGACGTGGCCGGGGCCGAGGTACGCGCAGGGCTGTAGGCATGGGGAGGAGTGGGGAAGTCTGAACCTTTCTTAAGAAGGGAGGCTGCCAAACTGTTAAATTAGAGCTTGGTTTTTCCAATCTGACACTTAAACTCAGTGCCTGCGTGTTGCTCTAAGTGTGTTAGGAGCAGTAAGGAGTTCTCGCATCTCAGCTGAGCTGAGCGTGGCTTTCCTGTGCAGAGGTGCCTGTCTGCAGGCAGGCTGGTTGCTTGTTAGGGTCTGGATTCTCCCCATCCCTGCCCGTGTGTCTGTGAGCACCATGCAAACCCTTGGCTTGGGTTTTAAGTGCTAAACAGCAGAAATTCATTCTCTTGCAAAATCTGTGCAGCTCAGGAGTTGTTGCTGAGGATGCACGCTGCAGAAATGAGAACCTGGGGTTCAGTTTTCCAGCTTTTGCGAGCTGGAAACTTCATCCGAGCCTGGCATCACTTATGGCTGATGGCACTGCCAGCCAGCTGAGGTCATTCATGTACATGTGAAGACACTGCTGGAAACCCATCAGCTCGGGGGGATCCTCAGTGCTTTCATATTCTGGGCAGCAGGACTCCATATGTTGCTGGATGTTTCTTTTCCCTGTGCTGCAGCACTGTGTGTGTCTTACAGGTGGCTCTGGAAGGCGGGGGGGAAGATTCTCTGCCCAAGGCATGGGGTAAGTTTCACTGCTATAAACCACAGCAAAAAATCACAGCTTTGTGCATGAATGCTGCCCGTTGCCTCAATCTTGTATTGTTTTTTACACGAGTAAAGTAGAAGTTGCATCACACTGGAATTTGGAAGGGCTGATGCAGCTGAAGCATCGCTCTGTGAGGCAGTGCTGTCTTCTGGCAATCTCTTAGCCATGTTACAATGGGAATTAAATCAGTTGTGCAGAAAAAGAGATTGAAATCTTTCCTATTCCTGCCTGACAGAACTTTCAACCCAGCTGACTACGCTGAGCCAACCAGCACGGATGAGAGCTATGGGAATAGCAACACCAACACGTGGAACAACACGGGCAGCTTCGAGCCGGACGACGGCACGAGTAAGTGGGCCACACTCATCAGTGTGCATTATCTTTGCTGGGAGATAAACCTTCAGCTTGTAGTTCTAATTACAAAGGCCACTTAATGCCAGCTGTTAAGGTAACAGGTGGAAACTCAGAGCTGGATGTGCCATCAGAGACCTGGGAGCTCTCACCTCACGTTTGTGTCCTCAGGAAAAGCCTTTTTTTAACAAACACCTGCAGGTCCTCCATGTGTTCACCCCCTGAGAACGTTGTTCTGAGCTCAGGTGTTGTCTCACTGTTGGTTTTTTGGGGGCGTTCCCCTTTTGCAGCCATTTCCCTCGGGCTGCTGTGGGGTGACACGTTGCCAGGTTTTGTTGTGGTGCCCTCAGGTTTCTCCTTAACAATATCCACAGATGTGTGGGGGCAGCGAGGTGGCTTCACCAGAGTCAAAATTTCACTGGTTGTCTTTTTTCTTTTCTTTTCTTTTGTTTCAGGACTTGATTTCATTGGGGGTGAGGGCTCAAATTATCCCCGAAAATTTGACACTGCTCCTGGTACGATACATCCAGGTGCACCGGCTGCCCCGGATCCCTTTACTTTATAGCTCTTTTTCCAACCAACTTGAAATATCTGTGGATATGTCGTTCTCCTCTCTTAATTCGTTCACTTTAACGAGTTTTGACGCTTGTTCTGACCATGCTTTTACTAATGCTGACACCTCGAATGTAAATTGGGAGAGGTTTAACCCTTTCCTCGCGGGTTCATGGAGCTCAGGTGCTGCTCTCGGCACCCACAGCAGCGCTGCATCCCCAGCGCTGTGACAGAGCCCTCCAGGAGCACAGGGCAGCTCAGCCCCAGCACTTCGTGATCCTGTGCTGCTCCCACATCTCTGCAGCAGTCGCCCTGCTGCGAGGGTGCTTAGCTCTGCTCAGCTGCCTCAGTGCTTTGTCTGTGCTTACAGCTGGCCCTTGGTGAGCGGTGTTTGAGGGCTGCTTTGGCACACTGCTCTGCCACGCTGCTTTTCTTCTAAGCAGAGCTGCCCTGTGGGTGGTGTGTGCTTAGGGGTGAGTGCCTGGGCATAGAATCATAGAATGGCCTGGGTTGAAAAGGACCACAATGATCATCTCATTTCAACCCCCTGCTGTGTGCTGGGTCGCCAACCACCAGGCCAGGCTGCCCAGAGCCACATCCAGCCTGGCCTTGATTGCCTCCAAGTCAGGTCAGTCCTGTCCTGCTTTATTTCATCCCTTGTGAAGCCAAGAGAGACCCGTGGGCTGTTCCACTCTGCCTTATTAAGGCTGCTGGGTGGCTGCAAGAAGGCCCCGAACTTATGGGGTGTTTGTCCAGTTCCTCAGACACGGTCCTGCTGGTTTGGGTGTCAAAGCAGGTGCTCCTAGCAGTGCTGCAGCCACTCCTGAGCTCACAGCCCTTTGGCTGCTTTGCTCTTGGAAGTTATGAAAGGAGATGGAGCTGCTGGGACTTGAAGTGCTTCTGTTGTTCTGAAGCACCTCCAGGTCTGACCTCCAGGTTAACAATTAACTGCCACCAGCACACGGCTGCTGGCTGTGCCACTCTTGTGCCTTTGTCTGCATTCACACTGCTTTGAGGTGGGGCAGTTGGTGACCAGACCTCCAACCGTTTGGGGTGGCTGCAGGTGGGGTCTGGGCTGCTCACCTCCCAGCTTAGAATAAGAGATCTTCTCTTTGGGAAAAGCCTTGAGCTCACAGTGGGATCTCTTGTTTTCCAGCAGTGCTTGCTGCAAACCCATGAGTGCAGCTGCTTTGCATTGGGGCATATCATCTCTGCTAAACTACTTAAACCCCCCTGTGCTCCAAGGCAGAACAGTGGAGTTTTGCCTAAAAAATCCCAAAAGATGACACTGATATTTGCAAACCACTATTGATTTTCCTCTCCTTTTCCTGCTTTGAGCTTAAGGAGTGCAGCTGCTCCTTGAAGGCCTTCTGCACAGGGCTGAATTCCTTTCTGAATTCCTTGTTGCTTTGCTTTTTGTCTTATTTCCCCCTCCCCAAAGTGAGCAAAAAGCAGAGCCCTGTGCTGCATTGGGAAACTCTCTGTGGTGGTCTGGGTGTGAGCAGCACAAAGCTCAGCTCCCCCACTGCGCTCTGTGCTGATTGCTGTGAGCCCCTCCTGCTGCCTCAGTCTGGGGAGGAATGGGCTGCGTGCCCTGAGGCTCCCAGCAGCCAAAGGAGCTGTGTTCTGTCCACATCTGTATCTCTAAATCCAACTTAAAATCCATCCAGGAAGGTTTCTTGGATCACTTCAGTGCTGATTTGGTTCACCGAACTCCCCACCGGTAGATAAGCAGTTGTTTTGGCCCCGTGACTGAAATGTGAATGGGAAAACCTGTGTTCTTCCCCCAAAATCCAAGAGCCTGACGTGTCTTATAGAAGGATGTGCCATCCCTCATTCCCCACGTGCTGTTTGTGTGCCACCAGGGCCTCTCAGCTGCTGAAGGGGCTGATGGCAGCTCTGTCCTCAAGTGCCTCCAGGTACCCCACTCTGGTGCTGTGCTCCCCCCTGCTGACGCTGCCCTGGGCACAGCAGTGGGTGGTTTAGCAAAAGATTTGTGAGCAATGGAAAGTGCTCCCACTCTCCTCATTCCAAATTCTGAGTTGCCTGATGGGTTTGGGATCCCCCATGTAAAATTCAGCATACGGAGCTTAACTTGTGGTGGGTGAGAAGGACTGAACACGCAGGAGATGCAGCCGGGCAAAGCTTTTCCCTTCTGTGAGTCTTGCTCTCTTGCAAATGGTGCTGTAATGGATTGTGTCTGAAATCTTGTGCTTTACTCTTTGATGCTTTAAGCTGCTGGCTTTGGCCATTTCTCTGAAATTGGCACATTTTCCTTTCCCTGAGCACACGTTTTGGTGCAGCGAGGCTTCAACACTTTGTGTGGGGGAAAGGAAAGCAAGCTGAGCCCCAGAATGGTTCTGTTGCTCTGTGCTGTGGGAGGCCAAAGCCTGGTGGGAAACCTTACCTGGAGGAGCTCTGTCAGAGCTGCTGGGATCACAGCTGCTCGTGGGTGCTGCTGCAGGAGGGGGTCAGGAGAAGGGGCAGAGGGGCTTCCTTGCTGAGCTCCTTGTTCCCTTGGGTGCTGGGCTGTGTGTGCTGCCCTCCCCGCTGGCCCAGGGTCCCTTTGGTTCCGCTTAGCCTCACCATATGGGAACCTGCCCCTAAGCCTGGGGTTGGGATCGGCTGCTTTGACTTCTGGTTGGCAAATAAAGTCCTCTCAGCTGCTTGCCAAGCCCCCCCCCGGTGCTTCCTTGGCTCTTGGAAGAGCTCTGCTGTACGCCTGACTTGTCTGCCTTCTGTTCCCCCTGTAGGTGCATGGAGGGCTGCGACGGAGGAGTGGGGCACGGAGGACTGGAATGAAGATGTAGGTACCCTCCAAACCTCCCCTCCACATCTGTGTGCTGGCAGGTGCTGTCCTGTCTGTGCACAGCAAGAGAAGCAGCACGGGTTGCTCCTCTGCAAACTGCAGGCAGAGCCCAGGCTGTGATGAATGAGTAAATGTTGCTGCCTCTGAGATGCACAACTCGGGCAGCTTCTGTGTTCCATCAGGTCTCTGCTGGAGGCGAGGCTTCAGAACCTCCTTGCCTTCAGCCTGTGTAATCTCTCAGCAGTTCCTCGCTGCTGTGATTGTTTTTAAACTCCTGCAGCTTGTCTGCTGGCACCTCCTCACCTCAGTTCAGATGGCACCTGTGGCTGAGCCCAGGGCCTCATTAATCTTTCCTTTTGTTTGCTTTTGACAAGCATTATTTTCTCTTTCACAATGTGAAGAGATCCTTTGCTCTCTGGTCCCATCACCCAAATGATTGCTGGAAGCCAAACCATCCGTCCAAAGCTTTTTCCCTTTGGCTTTTCCAGCAGTGTTTGCACCCCCCTGCGTGGTGGCATTTCCAAATCAATGCTGCACACCATCACTGCAAAGCACAGAAGACCCCCACAGTTCTGGTGGGTTTGTGAACTGCAGGAAGTGTGCGGAAGGATTTATTCCTGACTGGAGAAGCAAGAAATAATTTCGAGGCTGATTCTGATGGGAGCTAAATGTTGCAGAGGATCAGGCACTCAGTTCCTTGAGTTGTTTGTGGCTGTTTGTCTCCAACACCCGTGTGCTTCTTGTGCAGTCCTGACGTGCTGGTCTGACTTGGGATTCTTTTTCCCTCTTTTCTCTTTCAGCTGTCTGAGACAAAGATCTTCACTGCATCCAACGTGTCTTCAGTGCCTCTGCCTACGGAGAACGTGACAATCACAGCTGGACAGAGGTGATGGCTCAAGGCAGTACCATGACATGCATAGGGGGCACATGAGTCCCAGCCTAAGCCCTGCCAGCTAGATAGAGACAGCAGCTCTGAATAAGCTAACACAGACTGAAACATAGGGGTTGAGTAAGGAAGTTTTGGGTCCATGTTCTGGCTTGATTCTTCACTGGTTCTTCAGATTTTGGGTTTTTTTTTCCGGTGTTTGAAATGTGGGTTCTATGAATGTAGATAAGATGCTGCCAGGCTTTGTCCCTTTGAGGCTGCTGATGTCAGCTGTGTAAAGTTCTGCAGATTTGTTGGATGTGTGAAATAAGAATCATGGGGTTGGAGGTAGAACTGCTGTTGTAAAAGCAAGCGACGCGGGAGCTCCTGCTCACCTCGGTGGGTTCTCTTCTTTCCTCATCCAGAATCGACCTTGCAGTGCTGCTAGGAAAGACACCCTCTTCTATGGAGAATGAGTCAACAAACCTGGAGTCCTCCCAGGCCCCCTCCTTGGCGCAGCCTCTGGTGTTCAGCAATTCCAAGCAGAGTACGATGTCCCAGCCGCCCTCTGGGAACTCCTTCTCTCACCACAGCATGGTAAGGGGGCAGCACTTCTACAGGCAGTGCTTTCCAGGATGCTCTGTATGTTTGGGCAAGGTGTGAAATACCAGCCTGGCACCTCCTTGCTGCAGTCCTCTGGGATGATTTGCTGGCCAGCTGTAGATAGAGGCGTAGATCCCAATGCTTAATGCTCGGGATCGTTTCTGCCCTCTTGCCCTCTTCAGGCTTGAAAATGGAACAGTTTGAGGTGTGAAACTGTGTGGGATGACAGGGATGAAGTCTCCCTGGTGGTGAGGAGCAGCAGGGTGTTGAGACCCACCTGCCCTGAGCCAAATTCCCAGACAGAGGAGACGCTGACTTTGTTGTTTCCATGCTGCAATTGCAGGTGAGCATGCTGGGGAAAGGGTTTGGAGACGTCGGGGAGGCCAAAGGCAGCAGCACCACGGGCTCGCAGTTCCTGGAGCAGTTCAAGACGGCCCAGGCTCTGGCCCAGCTGGCAGCTCAGCACAGCCAGCCAGGCAGCAGCACTGCTGCCTCCTCCTGGGACATGGGATCGGCCACACAGACCTCATCCCTCGTGCAGTACGGTAAGGAAAGCAGCTCTGCAAAGTTCTGTGAGCAGCAGCGTGAGGATCAGATCTTAAAGCAGTTTGACCATTTGCCCCTCAGGTTCTCAACCGAGCTGAGTTCAGCTGGAGAAAAGTCAGGCACCTTTAGTGCTGGGCATAGAGCTGTGTGACAGGAGGTCTGCCAGCAGGCACCTGCATTGAATGGTTCTGAATACAAACACTTGTCAGTGCCACCTCACTGCTGACCTGATGTATCTTTCAAAGGAATGTGATTCTGGTGGCTGTTTGATGCCAAGAAGTAACTCTACCTCTGGGCTGGCACGAAGGAGTAAAGGCTGATTAAGAGAAGCTCCTGCTTCTCAGATGAGATGCTGAGCCCTGCTGCAGCTGAGCACTGTGCACTTTATTTCTTGCTGTAGCGAAATGGCTCTGGTTCAAATCTAAGCTGAATTAAAAATTGAGCCCTGTCCTGGCTGCAGTCGGTGTTGGCAGCTCCTGGCCTCTCCAGACAAGGAGCCACAGAGGAGAGCATCAGGCAGAATAGGAGTTGTGTATTAATACACTGCAGTTGTGCAGGGCTGGGGGTGGGCAGCCCAGGCAGCAGCATTGCTTGTGGGGGAAGGAGCAGGCAGTGAGCACAGGAGGGGAAGGGAGCAGCACCAAACCTGCGCCAGGCAGGCTCGCAGTGCCTCCCTGCAGGAGGATGGAGGAGTTCTGCTTCCTGAGCTTGCTTTGTCCCATGGAGGTGGTGGAACGAACTCAGGGAAGAGGGGCTTAAAAATCTCAGTATGATGCTGGTGAAAGTATGGAGGTGGGAGCGGGGAGGCAGGGATTCTCTGCTCCCTGATGTTGAGAGGCCCCAGCAGGCAGGATGTGCAGTGCTTCTATTTTTCAATATCAGACCATTCTTTGTTTCTAAGGAAATTAATCCTAATTTGGTGCTTTCTCCTCTCTGGTAGATCTCAAGAACCCAACAGACTCCTCTGTGCACAGTCCCTTTGCCAAGAGGCAGGCCTTCACGTCCACTTCCACGATGATAGAGGTGTTCATGCAGGAGAAGCAGCCTGTGGTGACAGCCTCCACCACCGTGCCGGCGCCGCCGTCTTCGCCGCTGCCCAGCAAAGCCAACCCCGTTCCCCAAATGTCCCCGGGCTCCTCAGACAACCAGTCCTCCAGTCCCCAGCCTGCACAGCAGAAGCTGAAACAGCAAAAGAAAAAAGCATCGTTAACATCAAAGGTGCAGGGCCTTCCTGGCGTTGGATTACCTGTTTCTGGGGTGATGGAGGGAGGGCTCAGCCTTCCGGGGTGGCAAAGAAACTGGGAGGATGTGAGCCTGGGATTGGGGATGCTAATGTCATTTTGCTTTCTGCTTTTGGGGAGTGATTGAGCATCTCTGTTCTCCCCTTGCCTTGCAGATTCCTGCACTGGCGGTGGAGATGCCTGGCTCAGCAGATATCTCAGGGTTAAACCTGCAGTTTGGGGCATTACAGTTTGGTTCAGAGCCTGTTCTCGCTGAGTACGAATCGACGCCCACGACGAGCGCTGCTGTCAGCCAACCTCAGAGCAGCCTGTACACCAGCACTGCTAGGTGAGCACCCTGGGGAGGGAAATGGGGCATCCCAGCTTCAGGAGCTCACCTGCAGGCTCGTAGCTATGCTGCATACTAGTAGACCCTTGCTGACTCTGCCTGTGGTCGCAAAGGGGGGACAACGTATGCAACAGCAAAGCATGAGTTGCCAGCAGGCTGTTCTGGGCAGCTCTGTGACTGATCAGCCTCTGGTGCTTGTACAGAAAGCAAATGTTTCCTGCTGCAGTTAATTCTGCTGGAAATCCTGCAGGGGAATCCCCAGCACAGCTGCTCCTTGCTCCTGGTGAGCAGGATCTGTGCTTCCCTAGCGTGGGAGCGTAGGGCAGTTTGTGAATCTACAGACAGGGATAGAATGCCAATCCTGTTTTCTTCTGGGCTGGGTCATTCCTTGAGTGCTGGGACCTGAGTGGTGACAGCTTGTGACACTTAGAGCAGAGCAGTGTGAGGTGGGGCCACAGCTCAGAGCATCTCTTTTCTGGGTCTGCTTCTGTGCTTGGTTTGTTTGGCTGCTCTGTCTGCCCCCTCTGTGGTCCCTGGGGCTCTTTGCCCTGAAGATCTGAAATGGAGAAGCCTGCAGTTTGTGTCAGCAGCTTTTGTAGGAGGGCTGTAAGGATGAAAACAACCCTTTTTTTGGTTCTTTCTAGTGAATCTTCATCCACAATTTCGTCCAATCAAAGCCAGGAGTCTGGTTACCAGAGCGGCACAATACAGACAGCAACATTTACCTCCCAGAACAGCGCTCAGGGACCACTGTATGAACAGAGATCCACCCAGACGAGGCGATACCCAAATTCCATCTCCTCCTCGCCCCAGAAGGACCTCACCCAGGCCAAGGTAGGAAGGCAGCTTCACTCACCCTTTGTGCTGAGTAAGGGCGGTGTATGAAGTGCTGCCTCAGGGGGAGCAGAGTGCTCAAGCAAGCATTCTGTGCAGCTCCAGCTCCCCACATGGATTGTGGCCACACTGAGCTCCTGCTGACTGTATCAGAGCTCAGTTTGTTGCTCACCTGGGACAGGGCCAGTGGGGGTTAATGGTGGTCAAGTTGATTGCTGGCCACGCTTATGTCATGAATGAACCCTGCTGCAGGGTGACGACCAGGCAGAGGCTTTAGTTTGGTCTTACTGGTTTGATTCTTGCATGCTGCACAGATTCAGTAACACCCACTTTGGTAGTGTGCCTCTTTCACAGTTGAGGGAGGGGAGGGTGGGCAGGGGTTGACCCTGGATTGCCTCTGGGAATGAACAGCTGCAGTGCTTGACTTTGCTTTTCTTCCTCAGAATGGTTTCAGTTCCGTACAACCCACGCCATTACAAAGCACGCAGGCTGTTGAAGGTAAGAGTCTGGCAGTGCTGTGGGTGTCCTGAGCCACTCAAACTGCTTTTGTGTTTGCTTCGGGTGAACAGCTTCATCTGGATTAATAGCAAGGCCTTTCTGTGCTGGACTAATTGTTGCTACTTGTGCTATTTGCGTACCTTGAAATATTCAGCTTTCTGCTGATAGTTCCACCAAATCATTAATGAGTCACTCGTAATATCTTCATCCTGATTACAATAATTTACTCTGTGAGAGGCGCCTCATTTGTAGGGCTTGAAGCTCTTTGCAATGACCCTGTGGAGGTTTTGGGGCAAAGTGAGATGTAGAACACAACGATACTCACAAGCATGGAAATGGTTGGCAGGAGCAAGGGAAGCCCCAGCTCTCCCTGCTCCTCTAAATGAGCCCTGACTGATCCTCACTGCTACAGTGCCCTCCAAGAGCTGCTGGAAGCTGCCTCTAACCCAAAGCTCCGTGTTCACAGGTGCTACCGGCCCCGCAGTGAAGTCTGATTCCCCCTCTGCTCCCAGCATGACGCCTCTCAATGACGGCGTGTCTGCGGCGTCGCTGCTGAGCACAGCCAGCCAGCATTCGACAGCTCTGAGCAGCCTGAGCCACAGCGAGGAGCTGCCCAGCACCACGGCCGCCCAGCTCAGCAGGTGAGCCCAGAGATCTAGTAGGCAAAAAGTGCCTCGTGCAGGGGGAAAGGCGTGGAGGTGGTCAGTCCTATCCAAAGGTGCCTCCCTGGGGAGGTGTGGGTGCATCTGGAGCTGCTTGGCTATTGCTGCAGCCCCAGCAACAAACACGTAGATATCCAGTTAGATGAGAGGAGGGGCTGTGCTCTGGCAGTTCCTTCCTCTCAGGAAGCAGGCAAGCCCTTTCCTTCAGGGTAGTGCAGGCCTTGTGGGTTTCTTGGCATCTGCATTGGGATGAACTTCTTCAGACAGTCAAATGGGAAGGGGATCTGGCCTGGTGCTGCCAGCAGAGGCTTTTGCACCTTGGTTTAACAGCCCTTCTCCTCCTTCTGCAGTACGTTACCCACCCAGCAGAACAGTCTGTCCTCATCCACATCCTCTGGGCGAACATCAACTTCAACTCTTCTGGTGAGTCTGGGTCTGCTGGAGCATTGCACCCCTTTATTTCCACCCATGCACCTCTGGCTGAAGGCTGTTGACCCCCTGCCCACATCAAACATAACAGCAGCTTCACACCAGCCTGTAGTAGTTCTTAAAAATGCCCCAGAGCTGGAACCAGGTTTGCTAGAGCAAACTCCCAGCTGATGGAGTGGCACCATTCAAGCACACTGCTGGAACTCCTGCAGCTGAGCTCTGTGCTCTGGGCTTCTGCAGCAGAATAAACCTCCCTGCTGCAAGCGTGGTGTTCAGCCCCGCTGCTCCCAGCAGGCACGTGTTGGGGCACAGCTGCCTGAGTTTGGAAACGTTCTGGTTTGGCTGCTCTCACATCTCTGGACTGAAGCCAGATGCAGAGCAGGTTTCCTCATAGCCTGCAGCAGCCGGGTTCACTGCAGGCCCTTGTGAGTGTGTGTGTGTGTGCAGACAGCAGTGCAGTGCTTGGCATCAGCTGCATCCTGCAATATTTCTGCAGCCAGTTACGTCAGCCTGGTCCCGTAACTCTTCCTTTCCTTCCCCAGCACACAAGTGTGGAGAGTGAAGCCAGCCTCCATTCTTCTGCTAGCACTTTCTCCACCTCCTCCAGCACGGTGTCGGCTGCCCCGCCAGTCGTAAGCGTTTCATCCAGCCTCAGCAGTGTCAGCAGCCTGGGCCTCAGCCTCAGCAGCAACTCCACGGTGACAGCCTCCACTCGCAGCTCCGTGGCGACGACATCAGGTGCTTCCCCTGCTGCTGAATGGAGGGAGGCTCCAAGAAACAGTTCCTGCTGTTGGCTTCTCTGTTTGACATTCCCTTTCTTTACCTTTTGCAGGAAAAGCCCCTCCCAACCTCCCCCCTGGAGTCCCACCATTGTTGCCTAACCCGTACATCATGGCTCCAGGATTGCTACATGCCTACCCGGTGAGTGGGGCCTGTGGCACTCTGTTCTTCCTGACTCCATCTTCAGCTGGCAGGGAGAGATTTATCCTGGTTCACCGTATGACCAAAAACTGGTGTGGCATCAGGACTGAAGAGCTTGGAGCTGCTGTTTTCCATCACAGCTTTTAGGGAACGGCCCTTCGCACAGAGGTTAAGGGAAGTCTGGAGCTGTGTTGTCAGTGTAGTGTGACAAATGTCAAACGTGACAAGGGAAGCAATGCCACAAAGTGTGGGGTGATGTCACAGCTTTCTTCTGAAGGTGAAGACAGATTTGGGTGTTGCAGTTGCTTCTGGAAGAGAACTGTTGGATGCCTCTGCAGTCTGAAGCAGTGCTGCCAGACATTGGTGTTCTCTTCCTCCCTCCCAGCAGCTCAGAGAAACTCTTGGCAGTGCCAGCCTTGCAGCAGTGACTGCTGGCTGCCTCATCCTTGATAATGGTGTGGGCCCTGATCTTCTGCTTCCAGCTTTATCTGACGTTAACCTGAACGTTGGCTGTCAATTAGATAAATGACTTTATCTGCTCTGTGTCTCTAACATCACCTCCTGCTCTTTTTTCTAGCCACAGGTGTATGGATATGATGACCTGCAAATGCTCCAGACGAGATTCCCATTGGTGAGTGCTGAAGATGGGCACAGGCAGCAGGCTGGGAGCTGAAGAGGTCTCCCCTCTTTGGCAGGAGGGCAATGAATCACTCCTTTGTGTGATCCCTTTTTTTTTAAATTCCTTTGGGAATTAACAGCAGTTGTTCATTGTTGTATCAGTGGTTGTGGGGCTAAGGAGCTGCAGCAAGCAGAGCTGTTCTGTCCAACAGCGGTGTGAGGAGCTGTTGGAGAGCTTGCCTCTGAGCCTGGAAAGAGGCAGTAACTGAATATTTGAGGATGGTTTTTATTTAGAAAGTAGGACGCTGTCCCTCGTGCTGTGAAGCGGTGGGGAAAGCTCGAGCAGTTCAGGGATTGCACACCAGTAGACCTTGTCTGGTTGTTCCTGTAGCCAGATGAGGGGGATGGTGCGTGCAAGAAAAACCTGGGGTTGTGCAGGCTGAGGTCAGCCTCCGTGTGACTGATTGAGCTGCCATACTCTGACATGTGTGCCTGGAATCCCTGCTTTTCAAAACACAGCTGCTTTGCATCTTCAAACAGAGCTTATAAAACTTCTCTTTTATCCTTCAGGATTATTACAGCATCCCATTCCCTACGCCCACCACCCCACTGACTGGAAGAGATGGCAGCCTGAGCAGCAATCCGTACTCTGGTAGGGGAACGGGGCAGTGAGCAGCAGTTTTGCTCTGAACTTGTGTGTGCTTAAGGAATTGTTGGTGTGGTGGATCTCTCCTTTTCCAGCACTGCTTCCCCCCTGCTTCAGCAGGAGCTCTTCTGTGCAGATGTGCTTTGGCCCGGCACGCTGGGGCTGAAATCCCAAGCTCAGAGTTCAGCACCGCTGCATGCATAATTTGCCAACTTAACATTGGTGATAATTAATGTCTGTGGCTCCCCCGGCCTTGCCTTTGAGCTGGGACAGCGCTGAGAAATTCACTGGCTTACTGTGTGAGCTCTGAATGGGGAGAGTGTTGGCACGGGAGAGCCAAGCAGGTGCTCCCAAAGAGGAGCAGAGGGGGGACTGCCTCAGCCCCACTGCCAGCATGGGATGGGGAGAGGAAGCGATGCTTCCAAGTGTTCCCTGTGGGCTGCTGGACCTCTGCAGCGTTTGGGTCAGTGCCACCAGGCAAGAGAGAGGGAGGTGAGAGCTCTGCTTGTAGAAAGGGGCCATTCACACACCCTCAGCTGGAGGATGGTTGGCTCTGCTCCTCGCCAGGAGCTGCTTGCTGGTAGGATGGGGTGTAGGACAGGGCCCCCCAGCTGCTGTGTTTGGGGGCTGTGCTTGGGGGTGACCTGGATGCGCAGAGGGAGCCCAGGGCTTGCTGCAGCACCCTGAGGGTGGGGTTTGTGCAGGCAGCACTCAGCACAGCTCAGCTCCTCAGTGTGTAAAGGCAGCAACAGGCAGAGCAGCTGTCACTTCACACAAGGCTGAGGGCTTCAACTGTGGTGCTTCTGCTTTTGCAGAGGGGTTGGTTCAGTGCCGACAGCAATGCTGCATCACCTGCGGGCTGAGCTAGAGAGCAGCCTTTGGTGCGGCCGTTCCTCAGCCTCCTTCCCTCTCTGCTGCAGGTGACTTAACAAAATTCGGCCGAGGCGACGCCTCCTCCCCTGCTCCTGCAACGACTTTGGCACAGCCTCAGCAGAGCCAGACCCAAACCCACCACACCACGCAGCAGACGTTCCTGAACCCAGCGCTGCCTCCTGGCTACAGTTACACCAGTCTGCCGTACTACACAGGGGTACCAGGGCTCCCCAGCACCTTCCAGTACGGGCCCGCCGTGTTCCCTGTGAGTTCCCTTGAGGCTGGGCGTGGGGTTTGGCTCAGGAGAGCAATGCAATGCAGTGCAGCCTTTTCTCACTCTACCCCTCTCCTTTCCTTAGGTTGCTCCTACCTCTTCCAAGCAGCATGGTGTGAATGTCAGCGTCAACGCATCAGCAACCCCTTTCCAGCAGCCCAGTGGCTATGGCTCTCATGGATACAGCGCTGGTAAGAGACCTGCAAGGGCATCCTGCTGCTCAGCAGGCTTGGTTTTCTTTTTCTGACAGAGCTTGTTGGCAATCTCGCTGTGCAAATGGCTCTGGGGCCTTCGCTCACTTCACCTCTGAATTTATTCCCTTATTGGTTGGTTGGTCATGGGAATGTGTTTGGCTCCTGCGCTTGGTGTGGTGGTCAGAGGACAGAGGAAAGAAGAGGAAACCTGTAGCAGCAAACCTGCTGCATGCTTTGGGTCTCACTGCTCAGCGTTGGGCCTGCTTTGGCTCTGCCTTGATGATGGCCTTTAAGATTCCAGCTGTGTCTTTTTTCTTCACTGCATTAGAGCCCTTTAGAACTCTTCTTCTCTCTTTGCAACGATACCCCAGCTCTGCAGCAGGTTGCCTGATGCAACTTAAAAGGAAAGCAGTACTCGAGTCGGGTCACCTTCCCTGCCATTGCCTGTTTTGTGGCTGAGGAGCTCACAGCCCTTCCTGCTGGGGTTGATTTCATCGCCTCCCTGCTCTTCAAATCACTCTTTTCTGGGCTTTTTTGGGGGAAAGGGTGCATCTCTGGGTGGCACCAGGCCCCTAAATTTGTTTCTAGAAGCTTCCAGAAGCTGCTGTTATCCACAGCAAGAAAACTTGTGCTTGTACAAGCACGCTGCAGCTCCTTGGGTGATGTCTCCAAACCTCACGTGACTTCCAGGCCACTCTTTGACCCTCAGTGCTGCTGAGCCCTGACACTCCTGTTTCCTTCTGCCAGGTGTATCTGTGACATCCAGTAACACAGGCGTGCCGGACATCTCGGGCTCTGTCTACTCCAAAACTCAGGTGGGTGCCGTGCTGTGGCTGTGTGCTGCTTTGCTGGGAAGCAGGATGGGGAACGTGGCTTCCCTCGTGAGGAGGGGTCTGTCCTTGGAGCAGCTGGACAGGGAGAAGGGAAACACGTGGCTCTTCCCAAATTTAAAGCAACTCTGAGCCTGGGAGGGGGGGAGGGTGGTGGTTGGAGCATCGCTCCCTTCTCTGCACCAGGCACTGACTGCCTGGCCCACGCTTTGCGTGGGTAAGGGGCGTGGGGTTTTTCAGCCCAGTGCTCCGTCCTCACTCTGCTCTTCTCCTCTCAGCAATCCTTCGAGAAGCAGGGATTTCACACTGGAACCCCGGCAGCCTCCTTCAACCTGCCTTCAGCGCTGGGCAGCGGCGGCCCCATCAACCCCGCAACGGCAGCCGCGTACCCCCCGACCCCCTTCATGCACATCCTCACCCCGCATCAGCAGCCCCATTCGCAGATCCTCCACCACCACCTGCAGCAGGACGGGCAGGTAAGCTGCCCCCAAGACCCCCGGGGGTCTCCGTACCCCTCCATGGGGCATCTCTAGGGCTCTGGCTCCCCCCCCTTCTCCCTCCCTCCCTCACGCCCCGCAGCGGACACACGCGGTGACACGCACATGCACATACACACAGGGCCGATGAGGACGAGGTGAGGAAGGCCCGGGGTGCACTCCGCTGGGGGGTACTCGGCACAGCCCCTTGCAGCAGGGCTGTACCAGGTACGGTCGGGTAGTGCCCCTGCACGCAGACACACGCCTGGTCCATCCTGACCTCCCGGTCCTCGGAGTGGCGGCTCCGCAGGCCGGCAGAACTCCTCTCCACAGCCACGACCCCGCCGTAGCTTGCAGGTCTAACCGTGGATTTCTATTGTCATAGTTTGTCCCTTTATTTTTACATATCCTGGTACTGCAACAGCTTCCATATTTGCAGATGATACTGTGCTGCCAACGCCAGCAGGAAGATCAGGTAATGAACCTCTCTGATGATAATGCATTGCACTCGCCCTGGGGTCTCTCCCCGCCCCTAAGGCCCCCCAGGCTCACGTAGCCCCCTCCTTCTCCCCGTGGCCCCGCCAGGCCCGCAGTCAGGATGTGCACACACACACAGCCGCGCACAGACAACACACACTCCGTGCTCAACCCCTTCCCCCTCTCTCCCCCTCCCCGCTGCCCCCTGTGCTGATCGGGGGTGGCCGGCGGCGCAGCGCCGCGCTCTGCAGCCCCACGGGGCCGGCGGCGTCACCCAGCAGAGCCGCTGGGATGGAGCTGTGCTGGGATGGGGACCCCGGGGACGAGCTCGGCGCCCGCTCCCCCTGCTAACCCTCCTCCTCTGCTCCTTGCCCCCCTCCCCGCAGAGCGGCTCCGGGCAGCGCAGCCAAGGCAGCTCCATCCCCCAGAAATCCCAGGCCAACAAGTCTGCCTACAACAGCTACAGCTGGGGCACCAACTGAGCAGGGCGGCCCCGACCCATCGATTGCTTACGACAAGAAACCCCACGAAGCGACGCCGACCGATGTGGGAGGAGGAGGAGGAGAAGAAGAAACCCCCAGGGGCAGCGCCGGCCCCGGCAGGGCAGGGCGGGCGGCTCCGCGTTGTCTGTTTTCAGCCACCTTTCCTGTTGTATGTAATATAGAATTTGTATTTTTTCTTTTATTTTTTTTTTTCTCTCCCCTCCCCTTCTTCTCTCTTTCTCTCTCTGCATTCAGACTCTGACCCGTTTGCCGTAGGGGCCTTTTTTGGTTTGTACTCCTTCCCCCCCCTCCCCTCCTTCCCCCCATCCCCCCCTCCTCCCGCTGCCCCTCGGACCCAAAGGAGTGGAAGCTGCGCGCCGCCTACAGCAAACCCCTTATATTAGGAATAAGAGCAGTAATTGATATGAACAGCATTGTAAGATGAATTAGTTGAAGTGTTTTTTTTGTACCGTGTTCTAAATTTAATGGATAAATGTGTCTTGTATATAAAAACAAAAACCCCAACGCCGGCCCCGAGTCCTCATTTCCGCGCCTGCCCTGCCCCCCCTTCCCCCCCATTGGGGCCCCCTCCTCCCTGTTACTTTTTGGTCTTTTTTGTTTGTTTGTTTTTCTTTTTTTTTTTTTTTTTTCTATGCAGTCCAGCTCCTGTATTTTTCAGTTCAGCTGCGGGCTCCTTCCTAAAGAGAATAAAGGTCACAAAGTGCTGTGTGGTATCTGGAGTGCTTTGAGCCTGCTGGGAGTGCTTCCCCCGCCTCTTCCCCACCACTTTTCCAGCATTATTCCCTTATTTAGGATCACTGTCACTTTCAGTCCCCCCGTTTCCCCCCCATCTGTCCCCAAGCACCGCCCGCGTCACCCCAGGGCGCTGGGGCACCCCTACGGGCCCTTCACGACACCCCGCGGCGCTTTACGGCATTGCGCTTCACGACACCCAGCGGCACTTTACGGCATTGCGCCTCAGGGCGCCCGGGGACGCTTTATTACCCGGCGGCGCTTTACGGCCCTGCGCCTCGCGACACCCCGCGGCGCTTTGCGGCATTGTGCTTTAGGACGCCTGAGGATGCTTTATTACCCGGCGGCGCTTTACGGCCGGCCCTGCGCCTCACGACACCCAGCGGCGCTTTACGGCCACGGCCCGGTTGTGGCTGGCGACGGCGCTTTGCGGCCGGAGCGCGATGAGTTTTTACGACGCCTTCCGCGGTTTCTTCGGCTTCCCGGGGCGCGGCAGGTACCGGGCTCGGCCCCGTCCCCCCCGCTACCTCCCGTTATCCCCCCGCTATCCCGCTCTCCCCGCTATCCCGCGTTCCACAGGCCCCGGGACCCGCTGTTCGGAGCGCCGTGGGACGAGGACGAGGATGAGGAGGAGGAAGCCGAGGCCCCCCCCGGGCCGCGTCCCCCCGACGATTTCGCCTTCGGCTTCGGCTTCAGCCCCGGCGGCGCCTTCGAGGAGCTGCTGCGGGACATGGGCGAGCTGCTGGGGGCCTTCGGGGGCGGCTGGGCCGGGCTGCCCCCGGCCTTCGGCGGGGAGCGGGGTTGGGGGGCGCCCGGCGGAGCAGCCAGGCCCGGCCTGACCCCGGCGCTCCCCGCTGAGCCCCCCCTGCCCGGCCCCGGCGCGGGGCGGCCGCTGCGCGACTCCATGCTGAAAGAACCCGAGGGTCCGGCCCGGCAATGGGAGCCGCGCGGGGCGGTGGGTGAGGCGGAACCGGGGGGTGGGGGGGGCGGTGGTGGTTGGGGCCCCGCCGGTCGTCGCTCACCGCCTCTCCTTTGCCCTGCAGCTGGAGGAGCCCCCGCCGCCCGCGCCGGGACAAAAGGAGGATCGAGGTGGGTGAAGTCGGGGGGTGGGGGCTGGGTTTGCCCCCCCCTCCACCCCCCCGACCGCGTTCTCACGGCTGCTCCCTGCAGACTTGGACTCCCAGGTGTCCTCGGCGGGGCTGGGCACCATCCTGCGGCCCCAGCAGCCGCTCTCCTACTTCCAGAGCGTCTCCGTCACCACAGTGACGCTCCCTGATGGGGTGAGAGCCGCCCGGAGCCGCGCGGTGTGGGAGGGCCGGGAGGGGCTGGGTGGACGCCAGAGCTCATAGAGCCGCGGGACGGTCGGAAGGTTGGGCCTTAAAGATCGCAGAGCCTTGGGATCACCGTTGGGTTGGGTTGGAAGGGATCCCCAGCCCCGCTCCTGCCGTGTGCCGGCTGCCCCCCAGCAGCTCAGCATCCCAGAGGAGCGGGGCACTCGCAGCTCTGGGTGGCAGCGTCACATCACATCTGACCCAAATCCCTCCTCTGTTCGTTTAAAGCCATTCCCCTGTCCTGTCACTCACACACGGTCGCTCTCCTCCTGTTTCTAAGCCCCCTTTAAGTACCCGAAAGCTCTCCTTGCTGTGAGGATGCTGGGCCCCACTCACAGTGCATTCCCCTGCAGGCAGTGGAGGAGCGCCGCACGGTGCAGGACAGCCAGGGCCACCGTGAGACGACCATCACCCGCCGGAGGGGGGACCAGGCCTTCATCACCACCACCAAGGAGGACGGGCAGAGCAAAGACTACCGGGAGGAGGTGCTCAACATGGATGACAGTGAGTGGAGGGTCGAGGGGGGGGCAGAGGGGAGCGCGTCTGTGCATTCTGAATGAACCCCCGTTGTCCTGCAGGGGAGCTGGCACAGTTTGCAGGCACGTGGCCGCAGCGTGATGAGCTCCTCACCCCTCCCAGGAGCGACTCCTCATCCCTGCTGGGCAGCTTCTTCCGCCGCTGGTTCTCCAGCTGGTAGCTGCGTGAGGAGCACGGGGTGGGGGCTGCCCCGTCGTGTGGGGGCACGTGGCAGCCCCCTCTCATTGCCCCTGCTCTGTGCAGGCGAGGCTGGGATGGGGGCTGCCCCCCGCCACCGCACCTCAGTGCATCGTGGGGGTGAAGCTTGTGTATGTGTACAGAGAAATAAAGTCTATTTATGCTAACGGCATCGTGTGAGGCTCCTTGGGCTGCTGGGACCCCCGTGCTGGGAGGTGGGGATCCTGCTGCAGCTCTGGGGGGGGGGGCACATATGCTCACTACCCTCCTACCCACCTTATCTCCCCGGTGCCACATTAACACCTCTCCTGGGTGCTCTCAAGGCCTGGGAGCCTTTCCAAGGGCTTTTCATTAGTGCTGCTTGCAGCCAGGAGCTGGCAAGAGACAAGGGGCCTTCCAGATGGGCACCTCCCACACCAGGATGTGATCGTGTGGGCGAGGAGATCCTCCAGGGTGGGTGGAAGTGGGGACTCAGCCGCTGCCCACGGCCCCACGCGGGACTCTGGTCCCTGCCACGCGTCTCCCAACTGCAGCACGTGGCCCTGATTGGTTTAAAGTCTGAGTGTTATCACCCACCCCAGCCCGGGGCTCATAAAATCAGGCAGCGAAGCAGCCGGTGCCGCTGCTGCTGCCCGCGTTCTGCCAGTGCCATGGGCTACGTGTCCTTCGTGAAGAGAACTCGAGTGCTGCTCTGCATCCAGAACCAGCTGGCACGAGAGTGCCTGGCTGAGCTGCTGGCTGTCTTCATGCTCATTGTGAGTGGGGTGGGGGGCTGAGGGGGGGAGGACCGGGGTAGAGGGAGCACAGGGCAGACACCACTGGGGTCCCACAGCCCTGCAGCTGTGCTGTGCCCACCAGGGGCTGCCTAGGGGTGAGGGGGCTGTGCTGGGATTGTGGTGACCCCAAACTTGTTCACCTCTGGCTGCGATTCACCACAGCCCAACTCACCCTTTGCTGCTGCTGTTGCTGCTCTGTGATTCTGTGATGAGGCTGCGGGCGCTGCCACGTGTGTGCAGGGTCAGGCACTGCGTGTCTTCACACCTCCACCCCTGAGGCGGCCTTGGGACTGAAACCAGCAGCAGTGAACGTTGGCCAGCAGTGCCCCCCAGCCCTGAGGTTTCCCTGCAGCAGCATGTGACTCAATTGCTGATAATTTCTTTTACTCATCACCGAGTACGTGAACAACAGCACTGACTGCCTCCCCTCCCTGCTGCCCTGTGCTGCACAGAGAGCTGGAGCCGGGCAGTGGGTGCAGGCAAAACCACAGAGAACGAAGAGGCACCAAAGCAGCCCTTGGCTCCGTGCTGCCCTGCGCCCATCCTGCAGAGGGACACAGCTATGGGGAGCGGGTGCTGCGTGGGGCAGAGCGTGGGGCTGGCTGCAGCCGTGTCCCTGTCCTGCAGCTGATCACGCTGGGCGGTGCAGCACAGATGGTCACCAGCTCCGGGACCAAAGGGAACATCATCACCTCCTCGCTGGCGGGCGCGCTGGCCGTCATGGTGGCCATCTACACAGCGGGGGGGGTCTCTGGTAAGGCTGGGGGCTCTGCAGCTCCATGGGGGGCTCTGCTCCGCACCCCCAGCATCGCTCCCAGCCCCTCTCCTGCCACACTGCAGGGGCTCACCTGAACCCGGCTTTCTCCCTCTCCATGTCCCTGCTGGGGCAGCTCCCGTGGTGGAAGTTCCCCATCTTTGTGGCCGTGCAGACCTTCGGGTCCTTCATCGCCGCCGCCACCGTCTACGCTCTGTATTACGGTACAAAGAGCCAGCAGTGGGGCTGTGGGGTGGGCACACAGCCGGGGGGGCTCCGCTGCTGCACGGCTCTGCCCCGCAGATGCCATCTGGTCCTACAGCAACGGGACCCTCACCACCTCTGGGCCACGGGAGACGGCCTCCATCTTCGCCACGTACCCCGCTGAGCACCTCTCCCTTCCCAATGGCTTCCTGGACCAGGTGGGTGCCGGCCCTATGGTCCGACAGCCCCACGTGGCTCCAAACGGCCCCACGCTGAGGCCGTGCACTGCCCGCAGGTTCTGGGCACGGCGGTGCTGATCGTGGGCATCTTGGCCATCACCGACACCCGCAACCGCGCCGTGCCGCGAGGCCTGGAGCCGCTGGCCGTGGCGCTGCTGGTGCTCGCCATCGAGGTTTCCATGGGCTCCAACTGCGGCAGCCCCATGAACCCAGCGCGGGACTTCGGCCCGCGGCTCTTCACGTTGGCAGCAGGATGGGGCACCGAGGTGTTCAGGTGGGTGCTGGGTGTGGGGCCGGGGGGGGGGGCAGCGTTTGGATGCTCCACACCCACGGCTCCGCTCGCAGCAGGGGCAGCGCGTGGTGGTGGGTGCCGGTGGTGGCCCCGCTGGTGGGGGCCGCGCTGGGCACTGGGCTCTATCAGCTCTTCGTGGCCTTCCACCACCCCGAGGAGGAAGAGGAGGACGGCGGGCGAGCACGCAGGCAGACCAAGCACTGACAGCCCCGAGTGCTGGGGATGAGTCCATTAAAGAGCCGAGCCGCGGCTGCCGCGTGTCCGTGCCGTGGGGCGGCGGGGCTGGGAGGGGGGGCTGGGGGCTGCTCCCCAACGCCTGAACGTCTTTATCAATGATACCAACGAGGGAATCGGGTGCACCCTCAGCAAGTTTGCTGATGACACCGAGCTGAGAGGTGCGGGTGACACGGTGGAAGGAAGGGCTGCCATGCAGAGGGGCCTTGGGAGGCTGGAAAGGTGGGACTGGGTGAACCTGATGAGGTTCAGCATGGCGAAGTTTGGCAGGAAGAATCCCAGGCACTGATACAGGCTGGAAGGAGCAGCCATGGAGAGCAGCCCTGCAGAGAAGGACCTGGGGGAACTGAGGGGTGGAAAGCTGAACGTGAGGCAGCAGGGCGTGATTGCAGCTGGGAAAGCAAATGGGATCCTGGGCTCCAGCAGCA